TTTCTGATCTTCAGCAAGGGAGAGAGACAATAGAGGTCACAAAGTGAACAAGACTTCAAAAAAGACTTCAGGAAAAAAACTACGTCATTAAATGGACTAACGGAACTTAGCAATTTTCATCCACCTAGCACTATAAGAAGCCATCAGCTCTAAAACCATCAGTGAAGGACTATGCACAATCCTATTGACCTCTATTTGAAACAATGGATGTTGTTGGTGTGGGAGAAGGAGAATGTGACCACTGCTTATTCTAAAAAAGGCATAAACCTGGGTTACACACACACAAATTCAGTTACATGATTTTGTTTAATCATTAAACTCCTAACAGTTCTAAAGTCTATGTATGCACACTAGAGGTATAGCTTATAACTCCCCCACTACCACATCCTTTTAGAAATTATACAAGAAATGTAGGAAATGATAAATAAGAAATAGCAGCACAATGATTATAAAGACAAAAAAGGATAATTAGAGTTAGTTCTTAAGTCTGTCATTCTTTCCTTGAAATCTAAGAGGAAGGGGGTACTGAAGCCACAGAATCTGACTGGGCTATATTTCCTGATCAAGCTGAGGTTTGATTTTAAGATTTACTTTATTCTGATAACTAACCTACAATCCATAGACTTACATATAGAGGAAGGGACTGGAGAACACATTGGTTCTCCCTGGAATGGGGAAATGGAATAGATTTCATGGGTAGACTGGGGATGGCTGAGGACAGAAATGGGAGGATCAGGTAGGGAGGGGAAGCAAAGATGGAGTTGAAGGGGGGAATTCAAGAAGAGAAATATGGAACTGAGAGGTACTCAAGTGATGATATAGAAACCTATTATAGTGTAGAGTCCCTAAATTATACAATGGTAATCTTAAAAAGGTCTTCTCATAATGGAAGATACAGTGTACCACCTGCCCATCCCTTGTCACCAAGCAAGGTGTCTAATAATTCAAATGAGTTGTTGGCCAAGGTGATCTGATGGAAAACCCCAAATAACTCAAGATGTTGACAAGACAATATATTGCTCTCGGAAAACTGAGACTAGGTTCCCGTTGCCAAGTACAACACCTACACAATTCATCAAAGATAAAAAAGCTGAGTTGGTGCCTACATGGAGCCTTCACCAATATGCTCTAATGTCTTTGGTGGTAAAGTACTCTGCAGGCTACCAAATAGAAAAATAAACACCAAACCAACCACAAAATCTTTGACCTACAATCTTTCCAGCATGCAAGGTATGCTAGGGGCATAGATTGTGGGAGTAACACACCAATGTCTAACTTAACATAAGGTCCATACCACAAGACTTAAGATGGTAGGTGACATTTCTTGGGTGCAGATAGAGACTAGATAGCCCAGAGACCTAGGGTAAAACCAAAAAATTGAAAAAGTGTATCAGTAAAATCACTCCAAATGGTATTTTGCTCTACTCATAGATCAGTGCCTTATTCAGTTATCATCAGAGAGGCTTCCTCCTGTAGCACACAGAAACTGATGTAGAGATCCATAGCCAGACAACATGCACAGAAGGAATCCTTCAAACACACAGCATTTAATGGGATTTCTCCATCAAATCCCTCCCGTCAGAGACAATGGAACCCCAGTGAAGAGAAGGAAAAAGATTGTAAGAACCAGAGGGAACAGAGGATGCCAGGAGAACAAGGCCCTCTAAATCAAGTGAGCAAAGCTCACATGAACTCATAGAGGCTGAAGTAGCAAGTACAGGGCCTACATGAATCTGTACCAGGTCCTCTGAATATATAACATAGCTTTCAGCTTAGTAATTTCATGGGACTCCTGAGTGTGTGAAGAAGTGGGTCTCTGATTCTTGTGCCTGTTCTTGAGGCTTTTTCTTCTTCTACTGGGTTGCCTTCTCCGGCTTTGATATAATGATTTTGTTTCATTTTACTGTTTTGTCAAAAAATTAAGTAATTAAAAAAATTCTACTGTGTGTGTGTGTGTGTGTGTGTGTGTGTGTGTGTGTGTGTGTGATTGCATGTGTATATGTGAGTAGCTCAGAAACCAGAAGAGGGCATTTGAAGCTGGAAATTTAACCAGTTGTACTATGCAATAATTTCTGTTCCTATGGCAGAGCATCAAGCACTCTCAACCACTGAATCATCTGAGCCCATCTTTCCAGCCCCAAATGATAACCATTTTTCCTGTTGACTATAACAAACTGGCAAAGCAGCTTATGTTGTTTACTTTACTGTCTTCCTTTCTTTTCCCTAGTCCCCTAGCTTTGACCTTTTTACTCTCCAAATATCTGTTTGCTGTCAGTTTTCTGCCTCAGAATCTGCTATTCTAGGAAGTTAAACTAAAATTCCTTGCAACAATTCTATGCTGAATCCTTCAACTCCAGTCATTGCTGGCATGAGTTCACAGCACACAGAGCCTTTTGTTATTATATCCACCCTTTAGAATTCCCTACAGAAGACTGCACACAGTCACACATGTGACTGTTCACATGTGAACACGCAGTCAGAATATGTATATGGACATCACTACATCTACTTAGATGCATACAGGATGAAATCCAGACACTGTGACCTATTAAAACTATTGCAGATAAGAGAAAGAGAGCTAGTCAGAGATCAAATGCAAGGTGTTGGGGAGGGATCAAAAAATCACTGACTATTTTTGTCTTCTTTATTTGCCACCTCTAGACGTAACACAGCCTTATGCTTCAAGTGTAGAGCAGAACTAAATGAGCCAGGGACTCTTCTGGCACTTCATAAATAGAAACACCTCTCTGGTGCATGAAGGAAAATGCAAGGAAGAGGAAAATTCAATTTAAAAATCTTGGTGTTCTGGGGGTTAGCTGCCATGGTCTGCATGGGCTGATGGAAGAGTCCTTTACAAGGCCATGAGGAACAAGAGCCTCATATTCACCTCCTAAAACTCTCATATGGGATGTTTCCAGTCATTCTCAGCAGAGGACATCAGGGGTTCCTGCTCTGTCTCTACCCAAAATGACACCTGTCCATGCCCCAAGTGAAAATCTTGTAATCCCTGGCTATTGTGCCTGGATAAATATAAATGTATCCCTTCCTGGGACAAAGTGGAAATGAGGACCATTCAGTTGGAACAAAAAATTATGACCCCACGTGATATAATGAAACAGATTCCTTTGGCCCTAATCAAACAATTCTTATGAAAATTCAAGGTGCCCCCAATCTTATAAATTGATAACTTCAAACCACACAGGCATGGTGATGAGGGAAGTCCTTCTGTGTATATGTCTGTCTGATTCGTTTATACATAGAGCACTGTTGGCCAATAGGGAAGCAATATAGGTGGGACTAGGAGTCATGGAGAATTCTGGAAAATGTAGTCAAGAGTAAGGAGTCACCATATGATCCTGGAAGGAGAGAACACAAGTCTGCATTCTCGGTAATATAAGACCTTATAAAAATATATATTAGCAATTATGGGTTAATAATTAAGTCAGAGCTAGCCATTAAGAAAGATAGTAAACATCCAACAGTTTCATAATTAATATAGTATCTTGTTTGTAATTTGGGAACTGAGGTAGCGGTGGGACTCAGGCAGCTGGCAGGAAGGATACATATTACATCATGGTTGATTTGTAAATTTGATGGACTCTAAAATGAGTGCACTTCTGTCATTACACAGACTGATCAAATGGGTTCTGATGGTGTTCATTAAACATTGATACATATACATCAATGTGAACCTGCACCATGTAGATGCTGATTTGGGGCAGGAAGCTTGTCTGTGTGTCTCTGTCTCCAAACTCATGATCTCTGCCTACTTCAGCTGAAGGAACCATACTCCATTTGCTATCACTTCCCAGAGCATGGAGTCGACACTTAAATGTCACCTGTGCAGAACTTCCACTGCTTAGTGGTGCAATTTCCATCAACAACATGAAACTAAAACATGAACCACAATGATTCTCCATCCACTATATTCATTTACAGAACCTGGCCCCAAAGCCTAAATTTTAGAGTAACGTTGATCTTGGCAATCAACTAAGGAATTAGAGAAAATCTCATATGTTTAAGTATGTTTTCACAGATAAAAAATCATAAGTGTATATATGTCACACATGCATATACTCACACACATATTCACACACATATGTATGTGTTTGTATACATCTCACACACACAAACAAAAAGGGAGCAACTTGGTGGAACCATAACTGGAAGACCAATTGTTTCCTTTGTATTCCAGTTTGCTTCTTTCTGTTTTAAAAGAAAAAAATAACTCACTAAAAGTGCTTAAGTAAGAGAAATAGGCTTGAATCACAGCTTTACAAGTTGGTCCCATGATATTCTCTGTGCCTCAGTCAAATTAATAATGCCTCCCTGGTGTACGTAGTGAAGGCTTTCTGAAGTACACTGGCACACATAACATTGGTTTGGCTCAGACATCAATATTTACCACAGCAAACATAATGGGAACTATGCCTGTGTAGTAGCACCACTGGGTTGTGTTGCAAAGGTTCTCAACCTCTGAGATGCGACCTTTTTGGAGGGACACATCAATTATTCTGCATATTAGACATTTAAATTACAATAGCAAAATCACACATATGAACTAGCAATGACATAACTTTATTGTTGGGGATGAACATAACATGAGGAACTGTCTTAAAGGGTCTCAGCATTAGGAAAGTTGGGAACCACTGGAACAGAAGCTTCTTCTAGAAACAAGTGTATAGCAATATAGAAACAATTACATAAATTCTAGACATTTTAAAACAGCATTTCCTTTCTTTGATGATACACACACACACACACACACACACACACACTCAGAGGCACACATACTCGTGAACTCAAGTCATAGAAACCTTTCTTTGCCCCTACATAAATGATATTTTGCTTGTTGCTTTTATGTTGATGGGCTGCTGGAGTTCATGTAATAATTGCCAGTTTTCTGTCACCACTGTTTCCCCTGCTGCAAAAGATCTAGTCTGTTCAGAGGAAGGTAATTGCAGAGTTGTTAAGATAAAAAGGGAAGGCCTGCAACTCACCGCTGTTGTGAGCCTCCAGCTGTGAGGCAGAGTTCACAGCCACCTTGCATAGCGAACAGTAAAGCAACCTCTTTGCCTTTTCTTCCTCAGTCTCTGTGGACGGACTTGAGCTGTTCCCAGTGGTTGCCACTGCCGTGGGGCTTTTTTCTGCTTTAGAGGTGATCTCAGTTGCTTCGGCATTGCTCTTGCGCATTTCCACACTTGTCGTTGTTGATATTACTGGTGTCCCTGTGGCACTGTCTGTATTCAAAACAGAATAGGACAAAGACTTAGGAAATGATGGCATCATCTTTCCCTACTTAGAAAGACATCACTAATGCAAAATTCTGATAACAGCAGCTGGCCAGAATGGCTTGTCACCTCTGAATTAATCCCCAAATCTATCAAAAGTGACCACAATTAATTTCATACATTAAAATTAAAGTTTAGATGATGCCTTAAAGTAGTCACAAGTACAGTTAGAAACTATTCAGCTGTCACAGAATAGGCATAACACAAATTTCCCTGAACTTCCTCCCAGGAGGAAATTCAATACTATGTTTACCTCTTCATATATGTAAATAGTTTTAAAAATAAAGATACAGGATGAATGTTCTTAACTGTTTTCCTTTTTTTTAGTTCCTGTTTTCCTACTACATTTATTTCTTCATTTAAACAATAGCATGGACCCTTTGGTACACACCCAGGAAAAAGAAACAGAACAGTGATGTAAGACTGCTCTGTTCACTTCAGCATGTCATTGAAAACATGACTGTATTTATAAAGAATTACAGTTCAATAACCGGTACCAAAATCACTGATACAAAATAAGTGAAATTCTAGTCTGAATATTTATTAAAGGCACGCTCTGTTTCAGGATGTGTGCACCAAGTTCACAGCAGGTGTAGTCAATCAAAAGACACTACTCCCAAGGCATCCCAGGCTTGTCACACCACGTTAGTATTTTAAGAGGTTGATGACCATGAAAGTGTTGATGTATTGTAACCCAACAGCCCTCTGGCTCCAAAGTCTGATACTAAATCTGGAGAGATCAGCCCTCAAAGTGCAATTACACCATCCTAACATCCTTAAGCGGCACAGTAAACTCCATATGTATGCCAATAACCATGTTAGTCATGTTCATCATACCCAATGATCATTTGTATAAAAGACCTGTTCGTTGATACTACCTAAGTTCATATGTTTTCTACCTCTTGCCTGATTCTTTAAACTCTTAGGTTCCCAAGTGATCTCAGCCTGCTTTTCTAGCTGCTATTAAATTGTCCTTCATGTCATTCCATAGGCATAAACACTTTTGACTGTGGTTATAAGAAAGAGTAGTCTGCTTGTAATGGTGTATGGTATCGGTACAAACATTTGGAGTGTGTGTGTGTGTGTGTGTGTGTGTGTGTGTGTGTGTGTGTGTGTGTGATGTGGACCTGCATAAATGCCAGGATCTCAGGTGTTTCTTAGGGGCCACCCTCCTAATTTTGTGAGACTGGGTTTTAATGATCTGAAGTTTGCCAAATAGGTAGGGCTGACAGGTCAAGGAACCCCAATGACCTGCTCCTCTCTGCTTCTATACCATTGTGATTACAAATATGTGCCATCATTCTCAACTATTTTATGTAGGTGCTGGGTATCTAAGTTGGGTCCTCATGCTTGCACGGCAGGCAACCACCTAACTATAGCTCATATTGTAATGCACTTCTTTTACTTGGGAGTAGGACTATGGACTAAGGCTGTCAATTTAAGAAGAATAATAGGGCAGTCCTATAAAAAGGTGCATCTGAGTGTGATTTCCTTCAATTGACATTTTACACACTTTAATCACGTGTTTAAGAATAAGTGTCCTCCAGTGGAAGGGAAAATATTCCCCAATTAGTTATATATTTTTAAAGTGTCATCTGTAAATTGGTACCTCATGAGCAAAGAAAAACAAAGTTATTCTAATTTTTGCCTTGGAATACATGTATGCTGTTTCTTCTAATATTTATGTACATGTGTAGTGTATGCGTGTATGTCTTTGTATGCACACATGGTATGTATATTCATGCTGTGTGAATGTGTGCATGGTAAATGTGTGTATGTATGCATGGATTGTGCGTGTGTGCATGACCCATATGTGTGCATACAACTTTGAAGGCCAGACTAGGGGATTGTTTTCCCTGGACATGGATTCAGGGAACAGAGTTTGAGTTCTCTGCCTGTGCAGTATGTTCCCTGAACCACTAAGTGCTGTTAAAATCAGATGAATAGTCCCCAAATATCTCTAAGAATCTAGAAGCAGCATAAAAGCAACAGCTTTTAGATAGGTCTATAATTGTTCACTGTCCACAATAAACAAAAACTATTGAAAACACTTGTCTCTGCAAATTTTGCCAGCATCCAGTTTACCAAGGGTTCATATAATAAAATTAACCTTGTGTACTTCCTAAACCATTTAATTTACCCTTCAATGATACTAGGGAAATCTGAAATATCCAGAATGTAAGGAAATGTTACAGGCCCTCACAATTGGACAGATTGAGGCAGGGTATAATACTTCATGAAATGCAGAATTGGACATTTGAAAAAGAGAGTGAGAGATTAATGACAATCTTTGCCAAGACTGTGATTGCCTATGGTAAAATCACAAGCAGCTATGAGCTACAACCACTGAGTTTGTTTTCTACTCATCTATATGGGGAGTGAGGATTGTAAATATAGTACTATAAATGCAATGTGACAAAACAAGCATCAGAGTGCACTGGTGTGGTTATTTATTTCATGGAATGACCACTGGAAAGATTTCCATGGTAATACCCTCCTTCTAATAACTCTTTCTCCAGACCAGTACATTTCTTTTTATATATTGATCTAACAAGGGTACACAACACAAACCATATTAATCCTAAAACAATGTTCTTATTTATAGTGAGATTCATTTGTAAATTATAAAATACAATCATGTTTCTTCCAGTCCCTACAATAAATATTCTAGTGTATTCTCCTACATCTAGAGAATAATGCTCATTTATTTCAAAGACACTGTAAGGTGACAGATGCCAGGTTCTGTGCATAGGACTTAGTGGAGCCTTAGCACCCTGTGGAGACTCCTAACTTGAGACAGTCTTTTGGGAATTCACAGCTAAATGCCAACGTGTCTGTTTTATGACGTATCTTTTTGTACCACAGAGTTTCTCAACTATGTGTTTACTATTTTTTAAGCTTAAATGAATTTTGAAAAAAACAAAGTTATATTTTGATAGTTTTAAATGTAATTTGTAGATCTTGGTTTCACAAATGAAGACTGATATTCATTTATAAAAGGACATATATTTTATCTTGTCCTTGTTTTATCTCCAATAAAGGGATATTTACTCAAATCAACACAAATGTTATATCATATTCAAAGAAAATCACCAATCTGTATTTGGTAATGAAATTAGAAACTTAAATTCAGAGGCACTCTACCTACTTCTTAACCAGTGATCCTCAATGCTATCAAGGTCCTCAAGACAAAGAAAGTCTTAGAAACTGTGACAGTTAAGGATGCACAGACATGATGACTGAAAGACAGGATACAGTAATGTTTCAAACAAGCAACATCTCCCCCACCAACACAGCACTCCTTAAGTCAGAATAAAATGGGGCTTTGTAAATTACTCATCAATTTGAATTCTATAGTTTTAACAAACAAACCACAGTACTGTGAAATACTGATAAGGGGAATTTGGTATAGGCCACAGAGGGTTGGCACTATTTTCTTACATCTATTTGTAAATCTAATACTTTAAATTCAAGTCTATTAAGCCCAAGGAAAAGGACTTGCCAACAAAAAGCATAGTACTATCAGAGGGACATTCAGGCCTACAGAACACAGTTCTCAATTTTTAGGTAAGTTAGCTTCAGGAAATTTTCCATCGTCAAGTTTTGCTCTTAAGTGGAAACTCAAACTGGGTACTTCATAACCAACTTCCAAATTTGAGCTTGTCTTCTTGCTCTGAAAAGACGTATGTTTTCAACCTCCATTCCACCAACATTTTACATTAAACAGTTAACTCCAATGTTAAGATACTGTAGGCAGCAAGGTCCTTAAGTGTAGATCATGTGCTTATTGGTAAAAGAGACACACTATCAAAACTTCAAACACTGTGCTATAGAAACCTGACTCTTTATCTGCTTTGCACAAACCAGTCACTTAATAAATACTTACTGAAAGAAATGAAGAAAAGAACACTATATTAAGTACTGTGAGGTACTTTCGAATTTGTAGGCACTAACTTGTTCAACCCAATAAAACATGAATGTTGTTTATCATTTTTATAGCCAGCTTCTCATAGAAACTGGGGGCCTGAAAAGTGTTGGAACTTTCCATTTGACAGTTCTGTAGCACATAGCACAATGCTCTGAATTCAGACTGCTTCAGTTGCACTGACCCTTCACTCATGTCTTTATTGACAAAATTAGATATTGTAAAGGAATTTGAGTGATCTTTGCTTTATCTTAAAATCTAAAAGATATTATCTCAAAACTTTGACTTGAAATGCAGCTAGCTAGCCATATCCTAAGCTAATCATGACGGTGTAATCATATTGTTATGCACTGCTCAAACACTCTCAGACTAAGAGGAAAAGCTACATCTGTCAAATCACCTCTGATACAGTAGTAAGGATCATGGTGTCCGTTAGTGTTTTTTCAGCACCACAAAATACAGAGGAGAAAGGGGTAATGACTCATTCTTCCCAGTGTTCCCCAAAGGCTGTTCAAATTTCTTTGCAGTGTTCAGCCAGTGTCTCTAGAAACAATATATGTGACAGGAAGCTGAAAATAATGGGTGAGGTTCAGGCAGAAGAAAAATGGTGCGAGCCTGGAATTCTGTGCTGTCTTCCTGCCAGGGCCCCGTAGCAAATATTCATTAATGCTCCTGTCACTGCTCAGATCTGCCATCCAAACAGACTGCTAGTACCTTTGTGGAGTAGGCTTTAGTTGAGAATGAAAAGATCTATGTCAGTATTCCAAGTATCCATTTGTAGCCCTGGCTTCTACAAAAAAAAAACATTCTAAATACTGGTTTTTTTTTTAATCTACAAAGCACAGAAGAAGCCCAAAAATTACCCACAACTTGAATTCTGTATAACCAAGCAGAGCAGACAAAATACTCAGATGTATTCCTCCAGGGATGAATTTCAGAACCAAGTGGGGAAACACAGTTGGGTTCTACCAGTTCCTCATAGACTCTGGGGAATCAACGCTGTGACTCTCAGATAATCATTGTG